TATCCGACCTTGGAGAGGGTGAAAAAGTAAATGATGAAATTATTATTAAGTGGGTGAATCAGACACTTGCAAAAGCAAATAAGAAAACTTCCATTAAAAGCTTCAAGGTAATCAATTTTATTTACTTTTCTTTCCACATTTAATAAGACCTGGGATTTTTAACATGATCTGTTAACAATTTGGTTTTAACAGTGGCTCTCCCATCAGCTAGCAAAATTGTTTATGGAAATATTTCTGACAGTCTTTGAGTCTTCAAAAATATTTTACAAATCTATTGACAGATAAAAGAAATTACAGTAGCTGCAGTAAGATACAAAACAAAAAGCTCAACAACAAACGGAAGAAAAAGGAGTTTAAGCTTTCAAAGGGGCTTCTGTCTGAAGTTACCAGTGTTTGGGCCTGGCATGTCGTATATTTTCCAAATTTTTAGATATAGGCACTCTCATGCTTGTACGAGTAACAAAAGCACTTTTGGGAATAGCGGGGCAGATGACCACTTCTCCCAGGAGCTGCTAAAAAGGATCTCACGCGTGAGCGAGCCGGGAGAGGGAGCCCGTGGTAACCAGCGACACCTTGTGTCATCCTGGGCACGGCTGGGGTGCCGGGGGAAAACGGGACCTCTTCCCATTCAGCAAATAAGAGAGCATAGATAAAGGAAGCTTTCCTTCCACATTATTTAAGTGTTCAAAAAGAAAGAACACATATATGTGTGTCAGCTGTGTTATTCTGTGTGAATCTCTTGCTCTCGAAACTGCTGGTTAATAATTGCACACAAATGTAATGTTCTTGTAGCCTGTAAGGTTCATGCTATAACATGAAGCATTTATGTCTGTGGTTCAAAACAGGAGAACAGAAGTTTAAAATGTTTTGAAGTTCACTATGTTATGAAATTTAAGTGACCTGTGTTTTTGGGGGGATATTGGTTGTGTTTTTAAGGTCATTCAAATGGTGTTTTTAATTCAACTGATGGTTGATCAATAAAGGTAAGGAGGTACTGATGTAAAGTGACACTATTCAGCATTCATTTTTTTACTATTAATTTTTTACAACATTCACATAAATATTGCCTTTCATTATTTGGATTTTGGGACTACTGTGGCAAGCAGACCATAGAGAATGCAGAACTGCCTTATATTTCACTGTGGACTATGAAAGCCAAGTTCTATTGTATTGCCATTAGTTCAATATAATAATAATCATTAGTAAAAATGATAAAGGCATGTCTTATGGTCTTGGGGATATACTCCATGCATTCAATGTCTTGAAGCAGAATTATATTAGTATTTTCATATGTATAATTAGTATGATAGCTCTGCAGGACTTCCCTGAACTGGCAGTCATAGTTCTGACCTGGGCCCAAAGACAGCTGTGCCCCGTGGGTCGTGCTCAGCCACTGCAGGGCCTGCACCAGCCTCACTGGCACCAGCTGTGCTTGCTTTGGCAGCAGCAGCTTCTTCTCTGTCCATACAGTTGGGATGAAATGATTGCAGCAACAGGACTTGCTCTTTTAAGAATCCCTGTGTATTAAATATGAAACACAGACTGCTCACACTAGCTCAGAATAACATCTGAGTTGAAAAATTATAAAAAGAGTGAGCCATAAACTACTGGAGAAAATAATTCCATGGCAAGAAAAAGAGGAAAATATGTGGGGGCCTGTAAGGATCTTTTTGTTGTATTGAAAGTCTGGTCCTTAAAATTCTATCAAAATTCCCTTCCTTCCTTAAGGCTTAAGAAGGGAAGTTGGATGAAATAAATTTAAACCATTTGTTCAATAACGATACAAGCACAGTGAACATTATAATACTGATTGCAGAAAAGAACATTAGAATTCATAAAGGGTGAGGAAAACCTTCACACTATGAAGTAAGAAAACAATCTTCTGTCTTTCAGTATGCATGCAGGATGTGCTGTAGGGTTTTTTGCATTTCGAAGATAGAATAATCAAAGCAGATTCCTTAAACTAATCTTGTGTGTCTTTTTCTTTTAGGACAAATCAATTAGCACTAGCTTACCTGTCCTAGATTTAATAGATGCCATTGCACCAAAAGCAGTTCGTCCAGAAATGGTTAAGAGAGAAGACCTTTCTTACCAAGACAAATTGAATAATGCCAAGTGAGTTTTAAATGAATGCTTCACATTTTCCTAAAATGCAGGAAATGCATGAATTCACAATGTAATGCTTGATTTACTGATTTGTTAAGAGAAGGACAAAATTAATATTAATTTATTTTTTAATAGAATATAAATTCTAATATTTATTTTTCTAGTGTATCTAAAATTAACTCAAATTCATAGCTGATATGACCTACCACCACTGCACTGTAATTGGTTTCTTAATAGTCTGTCATACCTCATATTGTTTTTGATCGAAATAAGTGCTTTGATAACCAGTAGCAAAACATCTGTCAGTACAATTGCCAGTACATGCTTTCTTCACAATAATGTCCATTTTCTAGTAGAGCCTAAGCACTGTTAAACAGGCACATCCCGCTATTGAAATCTGGTTTAGTTGTTGTGGATTCTGACATATTAGTAGATGCCAGAAAAAAACCAGTATTTGTTTTCTCTTGTTTTCCAAGGTATGCCATTTCAGTTGCTCGAAAAATTGGTGCTCGTATTTACGCCCTCCCAGATGATCTGGTTGAAGTGAAGCCAAAAATGGTGATGACAGTGTTTGCATGTTTGATGGGAAGAGGACTGAACAGAATAAAATAATGCAGACACATAATATAACTTTCTGCCATGTTAAGCACAACGAATGCCTCGCAGTTTACAGAGTTCTGAAACTTAGTATGAGAAAAATTGTATGCACAAATATACTCATCAATTATCTTTTAATTATGTGTTTATATTAGTTTATTTTCTTCAGTTTCATAACACATGAATTATTTATGGATAATACCATTTTCAGAATATGTTCATTAACAAATTAACATCATAGATTTGTATTGCATACCCATATGAATCAAGCTTCATTTGCATTAGTTTCCATAGCACTGTGAGAACCTGCATTGTTTCATTGTTTTACGTATGTTGTTTCAGGACCAATTATGAAATACTGTTTGATTTTTGTTGGTGTTACTTACATATAGTCATACAAGTCTCAAGGTGCATTCCAATCCTGTTGGATTGGACTCCAAACTGCACAGAAATTATCATCCTTGCCTTATTCTTGGAGAGCTTAACTCTTGTTGGAGCCAATGAGAGTCTTGTCATTGACTTCAGAGCAAGTAAAGGCCTGTGATAATGTCTGGTAACTAATGAATACTGATTAAACTGATGAAACTTTTTTTGTGGGAATTATCTTTATGTATGTAGTAGTAGTAGTTTTGTTCTGTTACTTAGCAGAAACTTTTACAAACCACATTGTATGAAAAAAACAGCAATAGAAAGCAGAAATGTCCTGTCATTATTAAGTCTGTGTATGTGCTAAGTCTTGCAGTTGGACTAAACAACTGTTGGTTGAGTTTTTTTAACCTTTTCATAAAATATTGTATTAAGAGAACAATAAAGAGCTGGCTAGTCCACTATGTGATTTCTCATTACTGTAATGCATTTCCTTATATATCATTCCTTTGATTTTTCTAAAGTGTGTATCGTGTGTGCAGAGGTTTTGTGTAGAAAGACCAGTGCATTGTCATTGAAATCTGTAATTTTTTATTAGTAATTTTAAAGTAACTATTTGTACTCCTTTTTTCATCAGCTGTGAATTTTCACTTATCATGCTGAAGCTGGACATTTAATAAAGTTATCAAAAGCCAAATAATAAGACAGCTAAATCAAAATTAGAGATTATTTTTTTAAGTATGAAGTTTCTACTTTGTCTCAGGTCCTGAGGCCAGTCCTAAGTGTGGCAGAACCCGAGAATCCTGATGAGTGAGCACTTGTACTAAGTTTTACATCTTTGCTATCGTGCACATGATACAGTAAGGGATGCATCCATCCAATTTCCATTATATAATGGGATAATGGGGACTGCAGGGAATTAAGTGCTTGGATTTGAATCAGTTTGCCTCTGCCTATTTACTGGTTTGCGTTTTTGGGACAAGACTTGATTTCTATTCCCAGTCTAAGATGATGACAGGGCCTTGTACAGAATTTGAGTTCTGAGGAGAGGATAAATGGAGGCTTAGTCTCTATACTGTAAGAATAAATGATCTCTTATTAAATTATGTCATCCTGAAGTACTGTATTTACCTGCCAGACACTTGGTACCTTATTCCATGAAGGCCAGTCTTTTCTATTTTATAAACTATTGTTTTAAGTGTCCGGAATTACTTCAAAGTTGCTCTGCGGGCATTGCGTTTTCACGGGCCACCCTCACTCAGATGCTGTGAGCAGGGCCGCAGTTACTACAGCAGCAGGGAGCGAACAAATTTAACTGCAACCGCAGCCCTGCGGCCGCCCAGCAGCCGCCGCAGCGGGAGCGCTCCGTGTCCCAAGGCGCCCTCGCTCGCAGGTGCCCGTGCCCGGCCCCGGGGAGCGGCACGGCCGCGTTCGGAGCAGCGCCGGCGCCTTCGCCTTCGGNAGCGGGAAGGGAGGCGCGGGGCCGGCTTCTCCCGCCATCCTGAGGGCGTTCGGTGTGTGTCGGAGCTGTCTGGGAGGTGTTCGCTGTTAAAAGTCTCTGAGTAGAGAGCTGCTGTAGAATTGGGGCTTACCTAGATATCCCCAGGATAAGCGAGACCAGTATCCTGTGATTTGCACCATTGGTGGCGGATGGGAAGAAATTTGTCTTTTTGAAATATGCTACTTGCTTTAAGCCTATATTTAACTACTTTTGAATCGAAACGTGGCCTTAAATCAAACTGATCTTAAAAGGTCTGAAGCGTTGGACTCCGAGGTATGCTTTTAATGATGTGCTGCACGGCTCTGCGTGCTTGGGGCATAAACACGGCTGCAGGAGCTGGGGTGTTCGCACGCAGAGCTGCGTGCTGACCCCGAGCTTAGCTTAGCTCACAACCACAGGGTATTTCTGCAGTGGCATTCGCCAGCGAGCTTAGCAGTTTTGCTCTGGGATTCTCGGTGGTGGAATGCCTTGCGTTTGCCTCTGCAGACTATCCTGAACATCAGAGGAAGTAATGGCTTTCTCTCTTTAACTATAAACAGAGGTTCAGAGAGCTAAAAGTCTGCATAACAAAAAATGTAACAAAACCCAGTTATTTGTATAACAGCTGGTTCAGTACTCTTGGTATGTATTTTACTGTATTCTGCATATATTTCTGTAAGTGTTCTATGCTGAGATCTGTCTTGGTCACAGTCTTCTGTGTTGCAAAGTAATTTGTCACCCTAGAGACAGTTTTGAAAAGCACCCATCATTTTGTGTGTGTTTGTTTTTAGGACTGGAACTAAAGGGGAAGATTAAAGTATATGTCTAGTGCTTTCCTGAAGAGAGGTCTGAAATATATTTTGTTTTCTCTCTGATGAGAGAATGCTTATCTACCTTGACTTGTCTGATACACCCAGTTACTGTTGTCAGCTATGGAATAGTATCTTGCGTGATGGTAGCTAGTACTTAAAATGATCACATGTTTTTATTGCTTTGTAATATGAAGTGATATCCCTACCTTACTTCTGCAGGTGACTATTACATGGTTAAGAAACTGTTAGAGGAAAACAGCTCAGGTGAAATGAACATAAATTGTGTGGATGTGCTTGGGCGAAATGCTGTTACCATAACCATTGAAAATGAAAACTTGGACATACTACAGCTGCTTTTAGATTATGGCTGCCAGGTATCCAACACGCGTTATTAAAAATGTTCAGTGTAGTCATGTATCATCTTTGTTAATCTTTCAGAATTTGGACATAAATGCAGTATGCCTTTTAGACATTTCAATTATTTTTCCAATAAATTAGAAAAAGTAATTATGAAAGTGGTTTCCTCTCACAAGTTGACTTTTCTAGTGGAATTTTGGCATGGCAAATGTATAAGTAACATTTTCTACAATATTAACAGGTTTGAGTTTTATTTTAAATGTTACTCTTGCTGCTGATATAATGCATCCATTATCTTCAAGAAAAAAGTACACGATGTGAGTGCCTCATTAAAATGTATAAAATGCAAAAATCCCTTCGGCTGTAGAGTGTATTAACTTTTTAAATGGTAACACAGAAAAATTATTCTATTATTTGATACTAAGTTAAGGCAAACATTTCTTCGACATATTTCTAGTGAAACTGATCTGTGCTTGATGGCAGGGCAGTTTCCTACCAGCAGTACTTCTTTAAATGTATGCAACATCTCTGCTACTGGTGGGAGAGTTGATGGATTAAATATGTAAGAAGGGAAAAGTAGCATGTTTTGTTACATTGTTTGATATTGGGCATGAATAAATCACAAGCTTTTCCCTGCCTGAATTAGTGGCATATACTGAATTAGTAATAAAAGCTGTGTCTTTTTCTTTTATTTTTTTAAGTAAAAATCTAGATTTTTGGAAATGAATCAAGAAGAATAATATCATCTGTAGGGAAAATGAAAGCTGCTTATCTCAGCATAATAGGGGGTGCAGAAGTGGTTGGTTACCAGCCAAGAAGGAAAAAGCTTATTTTCCTAGCTGTACTCCAGAATTAGAAATGTAGGGCTGAAGTATCCCATATGCTTGAGTTGTGTTACACTAATATTTGCTTTTAATCTGTCTAATAACCTGGTAAACTGAGTCCTTAAACTTGATTTTTGTAAGTCTTGTGCATCATCTTTGCTGGAAACGAATTTATTCAGTTGATTCCTTTGCCATTGGTGCAGTAATGCAAACTGTCACTAATACTATATGAACTGCTGCAGCGGCAACCTGAATTTTTATCCTGATCGTATGCCTGATGATAATACAGAACATCATTTTAGGACTTTAAAATTAAGTTTAAAGAATATATTTAAAAAATGCAGTTTGGCTTGAGTTTGTCTCTTTCTGCTGTTTCAGTTATTGCTGTTTTCACATATGATATGTTTTCTTTACCTAGTCCTCAGATGCACTTTTGGTGGCTATTGACTCAGAAGTGGTGGGAGCTGTTGATATTCTACTTAATCACCGACCAAAACGATCCTCCAGACCAACCATTGTGGTTAAGTGTTGTTACTCCTTGATTTTTGGTTGGGGCTGTGAAGCCTATTGCTTTGTTTGGGTACCTGTAGTATTTAAAACAATGTTCTTAAATTCTGCACCTGTAAGGTGATAGAATCTGGACAGCAGCGATTATTTTTGTAACTTCTTTTGTCTTGAAAGATTAAATACGTTCTTTTGCTTTATTACTTAAGGAATCCAGTGGCATTATACCTGCCAAACACAGGCCTAGTTCAGAAAAGAAAAAAACTAGTGGTTATAATTCATTTCTCATAGTCTGTTTGCAAGGTAGTAAGCAGCCTTGACTTATAATGTGTTTATTCATGTATTGAAGCTTCATAGATTTTCAGAACAAATCTATAAACATCAGACCTTCACCTTGAAATAAAGCAATTGAAGCTTACCTTGTCAATGCTTAAATACCAAAGAACTTCTGAAAGCATAAAGTGGAGGTGGAGGCAGGGAAGGAATAAAGTGTTGTGAAATTGGCATGTTCAGGATATTTTTTCTGCACTTCAATAGTAAATACAATAATTTTTTCACCAACTAGAGTAAAATAACAATTTCTAATATTGTGTATTGGAAAAAAAGTCAGTATTTCTATGTAAATTAACCAGAAAAGTATCTGGGTCTGTTATTCTTTTTTAGTGTTTATCTGACAGGTGTTTAAATGTTGTTACGTATTTTTCTTTCAGTTCATGTTATGAAACATTGGAAAATATTTTGAAGGAGAAATTCTTGGTTGAACAGTCAAAAACCCCCTTACATGTAGTAGAACTGTAGATAATAAATTTAGATAATTCATGCATTCTATTCCAGAAATTAATGGAGCGCATTCAGAACCCAGAGTACTCAACAACCATGGATGTAGCACCAGTAATTTTAGCTGCTCATCGTAACAACTATGAAATTCTCACCATGCTGTTGAAGCAAGACATATCATTACCCAAACCCCATGCTGTGGGCTGTGAGTGCACACTGTGCACTGCCAAGAACAAAAAAGACAGTCTGCGGCATTCCAGGTAAGACTTAGAGGTCTTAAGCCACAATAAAAAGATTCTTAATTCTCTGGTATTGCCTGGGTCAGATTTAGTATGTTTCCTTTTTGTTTTTAGGGTGAAGTTTATGACTGGATTCCTTTAATATATTGTAGCTCTTATTGTGAGAGATGGTAGTTCTTGGGTTGTGCCTCAGAAGGCTGGTGGGAGGCAGTGGCTTTTTTCCATTTTGGTTTTATACTTTTAGTCACTGTGCATAGTCACTATAGTCTACCAGGCTTGTCTCAAACATTCTGGCTACCTTTGGCTTGGGGCCATAGGGACTAAGCAAATACAATTTTTCTCAAGTTAGTTAATACTTGAGGGTTTGTGAGCCAGAATGAGGAAGTGGATAATTTTCAATCCTGTTTCTAAAAGTGTTTATGTGGCATGCATTGATGAATGCAAACGAAAGGCAATTTTTTTCTTTTTTTTTTTCTTTTTTTCTTCTTCAGTATTTTTGAAAATAGAAAGCTTTTTAATAAAGATTCAGATGAGGAGAGAGACGTAGCAATCTGGTAGATATTTTATGTGGTTAACTTGAGAATTATTTGAGGGTTGAATAAAATTTAATATGAGAGAATTTGGATGAAAAATCACAGAGTTCAAAGATCATAAGTGTACCGCAATTACAATGCACAATAATTATTGCATAGTTACTTCAGTCTGCATCCAAAATACTAAAAAATAAGAGAAGTGAGAGGATATGAGTTTTGGTATTGAGCTACCACAGGCCACATTCTGGTATCCATCCTATTCCCTGTATCATTAGCTTCAGTATGAGAAAAGATGTCAGGGAATCCAAAGCAGACAAACAATAGAAATATTTGAGACAGCAGCTCTTAATTTAATCTAGAACTTTTGCTGATGTACTGATAGCAATGGAAATAGTGAGGAAAAGAAGAGGGAACTGTTTGGCCAGTTTTGGGTACTTATGGGCTCTAAATATGTTATATATCTTCCATGACATACTGCAGTTAATGCTTGTAGTGCCTGATTTTAACCAAATTGTTTTGTCTTTCTGCTACCCATCTTAGGTAAACCTTTTGGAACAGGTTCATTTTGTTTGCTGTTCTTTTGTCACAGGTTTCGTCTCGACATTTATCGGTGTTTGGCCAGTCCTGCCTTAATAATGTTGACAGAGGAGGATCCAATTCTAAGAGCTTTTGAACTTAGTGCAGACTTGAAAGAATTAAGCCTTGTTGAAGTTGAGTTCAGGTAGGAATTGAAAATACAAATCAGTTTTAATATTTTTATGAAATTACAGGTGTAGAAATACGTATGCATTAGAAAAAGTTTATTCTTATTTTTTTGTAAGTGGAGTGTTAAAACTGATAATTAGACATAATAAGTTACATAATATAATTCATGTCTCATTAGTAGTCATTTTGACAGTTTAATTACTTTAAATCCTTTTAGGTATAGACATTTCAATATGTCTGGTTGCACCAACAGCTCAAATTTCAGCACTACTCTGCAAAAATAAACAGAAATTATACTAAATGCTAATTTACTTGGAAATCACAGACCTATTAACCATATCAATATCTCATTAGTACTCTGCATTTCTTTTCTGTCAGGGTAGAAATATGCAACACTTTGTTTATACTGACCTGACTCATGTTGGGAGTTGTTTCATGCTGAAAACGCTCTATATGATGAACAAATGCTCAGTGTAATTTCATGTTTAAACAATGCAGACTTTTACCATTTTGTAACTTACCAGCACAAAAGCTTTCCAAGAATGTAAAGTTAGAATTTATACAAGCTGAAATACTTTCCTGAACAACATGGCAATTTTCTGCATTTTAGCTGCCTTTCTTAATAAGAGTTCAATTTTTGCAGTTTTGTGATACAACTTGGCATTAAAATGAGCTGTGTGCAAGGTGAGACAAGGAAATCATGTGGTTTCTTTTCATGTGTTTAATACATTAATACATAATATTTAGTGAATAGACTTTAGTTTTCAGATGACAGGAATAAAGCAAAACCCCAAACAATTTCCTGTCCCATTGGAAAGTCCCGGTGATTACTTACCAGTGCCATATTTTGTGACAGCTACACTGTCACAAAATTTTCACAGTTTACCAGTGCCAGATTTTCTTTAGTGATCTGCAAGCTAAACAGAAATGGAATTGTCGTGTTACATGGTGAAAACTACTCAGAGCTGTCTTAGGAATGTTTGGACATTGACACAGGACTTCTGGGGTGGTTTCTTTTAATTTATCCTAACATAACATACAATCCCAGCCAAAAATGGCTAGTTCATGATTGAATAGAAAATACAGGACCAGTGTAATAGTACCTACTGCTCCTGTGTGTTTCAGAAATGATTATGAGGAGCTTGCTCAGCAGTGCAAAACCTTTGCTAAAGATTTACTTGCACAAGCACGGAATTCCCGGGAGCTGGAAGTCATTCTGAATCACACCTCCAGTGATGAACATGTAGACAAACGAGGATTGTTGGAAGAGAGGATGAACTTAAGCCGCTTAAAACTTGCAATCAAGTATAATCAAAAAGAGGTTTGTCTTTGCAGTAACTTGATATACTCTCCCTATCATATTTTGCTGCTAATTAATTCCTTCATTGTTCTGCCTCTGGAAAGAAGTGGGTCTTCTGCCACTGCCTCTCCACAGAAGCGGAAATCAATTTTCAGGAGTTACAGAAGAGATGGTAGTAAACAGGTATCAGTATGTGAACAGGCATGCTGCAAGATACTGAGTGATTCTTCAGTGCTTACTGTGGAGATGAATGTAGTATTTTTTGTGTTGGAGTATAGGCTACTGCTTTTTTATGAACAGCTCTGGTAGTGGTAATTATTTATTCAGTTTCTCATTAAGTCCTTGCCTAGAGAGGCATGGATCCTTAGGTGCCAAACATGATTTATCATCTTCTCACTGGTCATTAACTGTTCAGCTTTGTCTCAGGCCTTGCCTGTGCTGTTCAGTAATTAGATTGGACCTGCGCTGCTATAACTCAATAGCCCCTCTGTTCCAGAATAGCAGCACTTTCTATGCCATCAATATGCAACTTCCTCCATGCAGTAGATTATTGTAATTTTTGTGTTTTTCATAAATTATAACTCTAGTTTTCTGTGCTGGAAGTCAAATTGGAAAAGGAATTACATAATTCTGTCTGTTCTACATGTCTAGGCTTAAACTGTTTGGGAAACTGTTGGAATATATAGCATTTAAAAGTCCTAAACTGTAGTTCTGGAATGCCCCACAGCCAGCATTACACATTTCTGGTCTGTATTCATCAAGCACATTGAAGTATTTTGGTGTTCCTCTGGATTTGAGCATAGCTTGCTTTTACTACAGGGCTTGGAAAATAACAACTTTTTTTGTGTGGTATACATATAGTTAGAAAATTAATTTTAATGCAACTTACTGATGTGTGTTATGAAACCTGAGAGTGATTCCTTGTTTGTTTCTCCCACTCCTTCCCCCCCAGTTTGTTGCTCAGTCCAACTGCCAGCAGTTTCTCAACACGGTGTGGTTCGGGCAGATGGCCGGCTATCGGCGCAAGCACACTTGCAAGAAGATCCTGACTGTTCTGATGGTTGGCATTTTCTGGCCAGTTCTGTCCCTATGTTACTTGTTAGCTCCTAAATCTCGAGTAGGTCGAATAATTCACACTCCTTTTATGAAGTTTATTATTCATGGAGCTTCATATTTCACATTTCTGTTATTACTTAATTTGTACTCCCTTGTCTACAATGAGAATAAGAAGAATACAATGGGACCAGCCCTTGAGAGAATAGACTATCTTCTGATAATATGGCTTATTGGTAGGTATGATTTGAGTGGATGACAGTTGCTGAATATATATAAAAAAATGCCAGTAGTAACTCAGTCTTTCGAGACCAGTTCTGTAATGCTTGATTGGAAGAGTGGTTAAGAACAAAATCTGGACTTGCTGCACAGTTGGTATGTGGTTTCAAGATAAAAGTGTATGTTATGTTTATGTATGTATGCTCCATCTTAGTCTAAGAGAAGAGTGCATTTACCTCATGCTTGTTTCAAAACACAAAAGCAAATATTATTTTCCCATGTTATGGTTTTCTATTTCTCTATGTCATTGTCACCAATTATTATAATTGTACCAGAGAGGCTGCATGTCACTTCTGGTTGATGCAGCAGAGGGAGCACAGGTATCATTTTTGTTGAGTCCTCAAGAACTGTTGGTTGAAAGTTCGTAACTTTTACCTCGTTTTTGGTTGTCTGGCATGCAATTGTTTTTACATTAAAATTTACCTTCCTTAATGTAAGATAATTAGATACGTGTAATTAGTTTCATTTGATGTATAAAAACCAATGATAAAGTAAAAGCAACCCAGTTTTTATCTAAGTAATTTTGTGTTGTTCTAGATAAACTTTCAAAATCATGAATACAAATGTCTTCCATGGGAAAATAAAGCAACAGAACTCCAGTTCTTGTGTGTGTAAATATCACCTTCTCCATTTCAGTTTACTGTTTCTGTAACCAATTCAGTGTAAAATACATAGTGATCAAATGTAAAGTAATACCTGTTCAGTACAATGGCTTCACTTTCCTGGGTTTTATTATTTTCCTGCAGGAATGGTGTGGTCAGATGTTAAGAGGCTCTGGTATGATGGTTTAGAAGATTTTTTAGAAGAATCCCGCAATCAGCTTAGTTTTGTCATGAATTCCCTGTATTTGGCAACTTTTGCCCTCAAAGTTGTTGCCCATAACAAGGTGAGCACCAATCTTAGTAGATCCAAAAGCTCCTCTGGGGCTGACTGAGCAAGTATGATTTTAGTACGTTGCTGGAAGATACCTGAAGATGTGTTACACATGGTGTGTTAGAAGTAGGGTGTTGTGGTTAAGTGGACATTAGTAGTAGCCTATGATGGGGTGCAGTGTAGGCTTTAGGCTTCAATGCTCTGTTGGAATGGGCCAGGGAGGTGTCAGGACCTCAGGTCTTACTGCATCTTGGTCTTCAAAGCATAGTTGATCAGGCAAATGGGAGTTAGAAAACCTGGAAACCCCAAACAGAGCTACTGTCTTCCTTGTAAAAACTAACTGGTCTTCCAAATGGCTTGATTTTTGTTTAGGGAAATGCACCTCATCCGATTGAACATTTGTGCTTCACCGATTCCATTCAGTACTATGCAGAAAGCTAACAGTATTCTCTGTGTTTGGCTTGCCTAGTGCATTTTTGTTACAGAAAGTTTTATTTAGCTTTTGATTACATATACTCGAATGTCATAACTGGTGTATTTTTAATTGGTTTTTGCTTGGTGGGGGTTTTTTTGGTTGGGGTTTTCTTTGGTAGTAAGGATAAAGGCCCTGAGACCATAGAGGAGCCTTGTCTTGTCTCTTTGAAAAGCCATCTGGATTTGATTGAAAATACGAGTTTTGAAAATTGTCATTGCCATCCTGTAGCATGTGTTGTTAACCACACAGCACATGGCAAACTGCCAGACCAATTGAATGTGAATATTACAGCAAAATCAAAGCCAGTGCAGTAGCACCATTATTGTATCTTGAAAACTGCAAGTTGACAGCTGTCTGGCAGTTGGGAGCGAAATAAACTGGTTCAGTTCTTCTCAACTTGGTGTTTGGCTCATTTCCCTATCCTAGCATTGATTCAGAGGTTAGTAATCATTTGGAAAGGAAGGCTCCATTTCTTGGAAAAATAAATAGAGGGAGAATGCCACATTGGGCTACTTTCCCAGCCATTTGCTTTGCATCATGTCTCTAGTAGTAGTTCCTTTGCTGAGATAAGACCCATTGTTGCCTATTTAAATTGTAACCTTTTTGAAGATGCAGGACTCCTGTCCTATACAATAGTCATATAATGGGGGTTGGCCCCTTTTTATGTGGCCAAATTTATTTTTAGAGTTTATGAATCATATAGAAAACCAAATAAAAATGTTCAGTTTGCATCTTAGGTCCATTATAGACCCTGAAACTGTAAGAGGTAAGAGTCTGTGCAGCAGAAGGATTTGTACATGTGCAATTGCAGTGTGCAATGTAATACTTACGCCTATTTCTTGCCGTCTTTGTGCAGCTGACTTTTTGTTCCTTGGTTTTTGAGTGTCCATTTTGAGACAGCAGAAGCTGGTAATATAAATGCTGAATTTTTCAGGCAAACCAAAAGTTAGGAATCTGTGGATATTCCCTGAGAAAGTTGAATAGTAGTGCTTAGTGGATAATATGTCAAGCAGCAGTTTAACTGTGACTCCCATTCTCTCTAGCCACTCATAAATCCACTGAAGAAACCCCAAGTTTTAAGTCTTTCCAAAACTGGTTCAAATCAGCTGTCACCACATTACGATTGCATATGTACATTGGTTTTCTTTGTAGCATCTCAGTGTTATTTTTGACTGAGGCCTATTGTACAAGGCAGTGCACATGTTTATGAAGTGCCCAAGTCCCTGTTTCAATAGACTGTGCAAAACAGAGAAGTGAAAGCAGGACAGGGGAATAAATGGTTTGAAAGAGTGAGTGGCAGAGTTAGGTGTTGAATTTAAATTGACTGATTTCTGTCTCCCTCTGGAATGGCTTTTAAAATGCCTTTGCTTGAAAGAGGTATGACACCTATGAATGATACGTGTTAATTTCTTTTATGCTCTTGCCTGTTTTGGAAGTAGAAGGAGAGGTGTTTGGGTACATTTCTGTATTTATAATGTTAGTGATCTCAACTTGTCCTTTTTTATGTTGCAGTTTCATGATTATGCTGAAAGGAAGGACTGGGATGCATTCCATCCTACCCTAGTGGCAGAAGGTCTTTTTGCCTTTGCCAATGTTCTTAGTTACCTGCGTCTCTTCTTCATGTACACAACCAGCTCCATTCTGGGACCACTCCAGGTGAATATCATTACTTTTTGAAAAAATACTAAACCGAACTTGCTATCAGGAGTTTTATTGAAAATAGGAAAAAAATGTTGAAAGTAAGAAACTGAAAAATAGAAAGAAATGATACTGCATTGAAGTTTGGGTTTTTTTTCTTGAGTGAAACATAATGATTCAAAGGGGAAAAGGTAAGAAAAAGAGTCAAAGACCTTGTGTAGTTCAGTTAACATATTTTTCCACAATAGCTGTACCTATCCTGCTTTTTTGTTTTTATCTGTTTTAAGCTTAACATAATGCCTAAGTTTTCACAGTTTGGAAAGTATAGGGATCAGGTTCTTCCTGTAAAGTTTTATGCAAATAATTGCCTTAGCTTCTTATATATGAGTAAGTAGCATGTAAGTGTAGCAAGGACATGTAATCAAAAGAATCTGAAAAAATCTGTTTATGTCTGTGATCTCATTGAAGCTGCACCTTGAGTTGTGTAAATTGCTTTTGTTTGAAAAATATAAATCTCTCAAGAGTATTGAAATACTCACCTATATATTGGCAGTTATAAGAAGGGAGAACAGGTTTCTTCTTGCTTGGTATTTGTTGGAGCCTTTCAGTAATGATGACAGTAAAACCTCCCACATTTTAATTATCTAATTTTCTGTTATACATTTTAAATGGAAATATACTTGCACACTTTGAAAAAAACACTGAAGTCTTGATATTGAATTAAGCATTAGGGTTGTACAAATTGATTAAACACTGAAGTCTCTCCACATTTTAAAGAGATTCACTGTTTAATGTGCATATTTATTTATGTACTAGATCTTTCACAAATTTTTTATTAGGAGACCGTGTTATGAAATTTTCCAAGTAAATAAAAACAGTCAACAGTCACCCCATTCAGAGGCACACAGGAGCTTACGTTCTTACTGCTGGCCAGTAGGGCTGGTGCAACAACTCTTACAGTATTTTCTGAAAGTAGGTCACAAAGTTCAGATGGTGGTAATCAAATATGGCATGGAAACCCAACAGTGGGGGGTGGGGGAAGGCAGCTACCATGTTCTCTTGGCTTTTAGTTATTTTTAAGCTTTCAGTTACTTGACTCATTGGCTAATAAAACCTGTTACAATCGAGATTTATAGGTTGGCTGTGTGTGGTGGATTTTATTATTAACAGAAGGTAAAATAGTACTTCCCTAGATGAGATAATTATATTTTAAGTGCTTAGAAATTGTAAATAGAGAGACAAAGCATGAACCTATGAAGAGAGCAACTGGCATTTGGGATTGGTTATTACACTCATCCAGACAAAATGGTTTTGTGAAGTTTGAACTTTCTGTGCATTCCCGTTTCATCTTCTTTGTCCCTCTCTTGGCTGGAACCATGTGTTAAAGGGAAAATGTTTTGTTGGGATTTGGGTTGGGTTTTTTCAGTGAAGGGTTGGACATGATGAAACAGTTTGATGGGGAGTACAGTCATCCTCTGACCAAACACGCACAGGATTGGTGCAGCGCTCTGCCCACAGCTGCAGAACCTCCATGACCACTGCAAACTGTACAGACTCTGAATGTGCTGTGCTGCAGGAGGTACTTGGTGAGTTTCCAGCAGCAAAGGAGGGAGCAGGAATTCATCTCCCAGTAAAGCTGTACTTGCAAAACCTGGAAATTGTGTTACAGTTCTGGGCTATGATTTGATTCATATAGGACCAGGTTTTCCACACACTGATTTATATATAGATTAGATTCACCTAATCCCACATTATATTTATTTGCATTCTTTATAATGGTACACTGTTCTGAAGAAGTTTGTAGGAAGGCTAATTAAATTATATAAACAGTTTGTGATTTGTCTGTGTAAAAATTTATCAAAAGCAAATCAAGATCTTTCCTGTGTTGGAAAAAATCACAAGCATATGACTGTTTTTTTTCAAAGGTGCTGTATTTCTTATGCTGCAAAGTTCTGTATAGGATATTTTGAATTGGAAACTAATAATCTGAATTTACTGTCGTACCTTGTATGCTTTATCCTTCAATTTCTGTGTGCCTACACATTTGTTTATTTAAAATCATACATAAAGTATACAGTGAACTAATTTTGTATTCTGCAGAGGGGCTTTTGTATGGTACTTTTATTTTTATTAGTGATAAATTATTCCAAATGTTTTGATTAATTCAGTGTTCTTCTAAGTTTTTCTTTTCTATAATGGCATTTATGTTCAAATGCATTTCATTTACTGCTTTTGTCTGCTGTGAGTTCCTTATTACCATTGGTATTGCAGATGAATAATAAGGTGTACATACTATTTCTTGTGGTTATTAGGATGATATTAATTTTCCAGGCAATGTTAAAATTACTTACATATTCTTTTTAATATCTAGAATTTTCTCTGAAAAACAGTACAAGGTTATCTTCTGACCTTAAGGTCTGTTTTGCATATCAAAATTTAACTTAAATATTTAAAATGTAAATAGATTTTTTTGTTGATCAAAGGCTGAAGAAAACCATACAAATAAAAATACATGTTTCACTAAAATTAGAAATAAATCTATTTCACAGATTTCAATGGGCCAGATGCTACAAGATTTTGGAAAATTTCTAGGCATGTTTCTTCTTGTCTTGTTCTCATTCACAATTGGATTGACCCAACTTTATGATAAAGGATTTACTGTAAATGAAGAAAAGGACTGTGCGGGCATTTTCTGTGAACAACAGAGCAATGACACATTCCATTCGTGAGTTTGCGATCTATAAAATAACTGTGTTGTTTTAGTATTTAATCCCTAGTAATTAAACAGAACTGGATTTTTTCACTCATCTTGAATTTACATTAAACACTTCTGGTGTTAGGTTTATCTAACCAGATTTTTTTCTGTGTTTTTGTAGGTTTATTGGTACATGTTTTGCTCTCTTCTGGTACATATTCTCCCTGGCACATGTCGCAATCTTTGTGACACGTTTTAGCTACGGTGAAGAATTACAGTCTTTTGTGGGTGCTGTTATTGTTGGGACCTACAACGTGGTGGTTGTGATAGTATTAACTAAACTCCTTGTGGCAATGCTTCACAAAAGTTTTCAGCTGATTGCAGTAAGTGGTGTCTGATTAATTACCAATTACCTGTATCTTTGGATTTTACACAAGTTTGTATGTGTAAAAGTGATGTGTAAAGTCATGATCTATAGGTCTCATGGATGAGCTCTGTCAGCTCTGTCAGTCAGTTCATATTTTTCCTTCAAATAAGCAGTTTTTATTTACTTTGACTAAAAAAAAATTATTATTTTCCATGTTGAATTTGTGCAGGGCTTTGGCCCACTGGGAACTGATGCCTTTCTTGATACAGTGGCTGTTAAAGCTGTTAAAGTGCTGGTTTTGATATGTGTGGTGCTTTAGCATTTAATCTGGGGTTATACCTTCTTAATTTTATACCAGATTATATAGGGAATTAAAGAAAGATGTACTTATTTTCAGTATTCAATACTAGAATATTCAAGCAAACCTATTAAAATACTCTGTAATCTACCTATTAAAATGCTGTATAATCAAAATTAAATAATGGTCAGTTTTTCATGTATGAGAAAATTAAACTTACAAAATAACCTATTAATATTACTGTTTCTCTTCTCTGTTAATGTTTCTGATGTTTTAGAATCATGAAGATAAGGAGTGGAAGTTTGCTCGTGCCAAGCTTTGGCTTAGCTACTTTGATGATAAATGCACGCTCCCTCCACCTTTCAACGTTATACCCTCTCCCAAGACTATTTGTTACCTTTTCAACAGTCTCAGTAAATGGATCTGCTCTCATACATCAAGTGGCAAAGTGAAACGTCAGAACAGCCTCAAGGTGAGGAATGATTGGGCAAGCTCTGGGCTCTGCAGCTGGAAAGGTGCTGCTTGCTGAAATGAAAATGCAGATTGCTGCATGCTGCCTGTCAGAAGGTGAATGCTGCTAAGATAAATAGGAACTACAGAATAATGTGTTGTATCCAAGATAAATAAGTGTTACTTGTTTCTACTTAAGTAAGGTTTTATTGACTTTCTGGTTTTGGAATTTCAACCCACTTCTTTCCAACCCCCAATTCCCCCAGAAATAGTCTAAAAAAAAAAGCTTTGATTGAATGAAAAAACATAGAAACCTCAAGGAAGTATGTGCTAATCTCAAAAATGGTGAGGTTAGAATATTCTTTGGTGAAGGTAATTGGTTTTAAACATATTACAGAAGTGTCAGAATAAATAACCAAAAAGGATCACTGAAGGCTCTCATTGTTAGGGAAGGGATTTTTTTGTTTATTTTATAAACATTTTTTTGTACCCCACAATTTTGCATACTAATTTTGCATCTTCTTGCTGACAAAAATAATATGAAATAAACAAATTTAAGCACTTTATGGAATTTGCACTGAGAGGCATTTAGGGTTATAGGACTCTTGATTGATCACAGACCAATTACCAGGCCAGGTAGATAAAAATTTTCACTTTTACTGGTACAGCAGATTATGATCTAATTTGGATTTTGTGGACAATTTGTGTCCAGTGTATATTTGTGTACAACAGGATGTATTTAAAAATAGCTTTGTTATTTTGTTCCTGTTTCTTCTCTGTACAATTGTATAAAGGCTTTAGGGCTCAAAATCCCTTCCATGGTAAATATGTTATGTTTGTTTAAAGGAATGGAGAAATCTGAAGCAGAAGAGAGATGAGAATTACCAAAAGGTGATGTGTTGCTTAGTCCACCGTTACTTGACTTCCATGAGGCAGAAAATGCAAAGTACGGATCAGGCCACGGTGGAAAACCTCAATGAACTGCGGCAGGACTTGTCAAAATTCCGGAATGAAATGAGAGACCTGCTTGGCTTCCGAACTTCTAAGTATGCTATGTTTTATCCAAGAAACTAAGGCCTAACTTCCAGACAAAAGGTGTGTGCTTTTAGATACCCAAAGGTGAAAGTGTTGACCTAATTCTGTTGCCAGATCACATATAGACAAGAAGATTATTGCACAAAAGTACATTTGAAAATGCATTTGCATGAGTTGCAGCTCAGTGCCCAAGTGGTCAAAATGAATGCAAAACCAGATACACTAATTTTGTTAACCTCTTAATCTTAGTATGTATATAAAATTTGTATATAGGAGTTTTTTAAATGTTCCTCAGACTGTCTGTGGCTGTCAGGTGTTAGAGCTTCATAACTAGCACAACGTGTTTCTTTCTTCTATTTTTGCTGTTTGTTCTTTTTTGATACTTGTTTTTCAAGTCGTGGGAGAAGATAGGTTTTTTTAAAATAAAAATCCAGCCTGTTTATTTTTAATAGAGAAGTCAGATAAAGAATAATAGAAAATTTCCAGCACAGTTGGAAATTATTTATGACTGTAGGTTACAGTGCATGTGAAGACTGTATGGCTCTGAAAGAGGCAGTTCTAGTTTTGTATGTTAACACTGACTGTAAACTAACGTTTATAGAATACAGCAAATCAAATCATCAAGACTTTTCACTTTTGTGGGAACATTGACATTTTGAACACAAAATAGACCAATCATTTCTTGAATGTTTATGGTTATGTGTAAGACAATCTTACCCTGCTTGGATTTTTCAGCAGTGCCTCAATAGTACATTTTAATATACATGTTAGGATTGGTAACAAAATTTAAAAATTAATCTGTGAAATTTAATTTTTAGTATCTTGTGTTTTTAAAATCTAGATAAATTATTTGAATTATTAAAACCTGTGATTTCATGAAAATGAGGTGGAGCACGAGTGCTATATGCAGTGCTGAACAATTCCTGTAAACCATTCTACTCTTCTTTCTGTGAGGTCATTGTGTCTTGTCATTGGAGTGATGTACTTTAGAAGGGTCTGCTTGACACAGGTTTTACATATCCTACTTTTAAATTTGGTTTTCTTTTTTCCTGTTTTTTACCAGAATTGTTGCCAAGCTAGACATTTTATTTTTATGTCAGGTATACTGTGTTTTGTGAAAATAGTTTATCTGATTTTGCTTACAATGGACAGTAAGGGCTTTGTGGATTTTCTGTGCTAGAGGGTCCTATATGGCTTTATATGCTTATATATAATTCCAGCTGACAAACTGTAATTCAGAAATGTGAGATTCCTGTATTTTTAATTACAAAATAAGTATATTTATGACAGCTAAAGGATTGATTGACAGTTTTACTGTTATGATGGTCCTCTTCTGAAATGGTCGCGTGTCTGGAAGGCGCAGGTAGCCATTGTGGTCTTTGACTACAGTTGATTTTGGGAGATTGACAGAGTGGGGGCTTACATGAATGTTTACTTTTTTGAAGGAATTCTTATAAAACTCTTTCTTGTAAAGGTAATATATTTTCCATACTATGAAATTATGTATTTCTGAACTAGGTTTTAATAGTCTGCTTCCAGAAGTGCTGGAGTATAGAGGGATTATGATACGCGTTGACTTTTCATGGGAATAGAAAGTTAACCTCCTGGCACAAAGCAAAGAGAATCACTGAGTTCTGTATTTGGACTGAGACCTCATGTTTGAGTAATGCACCAACATAAAAACTATGTGCTATGTATGTTATGTATATTCAAGAAAGGAAGCAAATAAAAGCTCTTTGAAAAATATGGTTGTATTAATATTTGTCATATTGAAAACACTTTATATCAGTTACCACACAAGTATTTTCTTTGTCATGTTGAGCTAATAGGTTTAAGGAAAGTAGCTGGTGTTAATGCCTTTGTCCATCTGCACCCATCCTGTTAGGTTCATTGAAGTGTCTTCATGCAGTGCCATGAAGTGAGGCTGGTTCCAGACCAGCTGGGGTGATCCTAGATGCACATCAGCTGTTTGGCACTGGGATGGTTAGTTCTGGAAACCTGGGGGTGTTGACAGTACGAATGAAGGAGCTAATGGAGCTATTTCTGAGTGCTTTTCCTACATTGGGCAGAGTCCATCAGAGCTAGCTTGGTCAGTGTCTTGAGGCACTGTGTTCTACTACAGCGTAGATGGCCTTAGGAAGAACTGTTGCACTTCAAGGCTCTCAGGGGTTTTGGATTGGGATTTCCAGAGTTTTTACTTGTCACTGAAATAGAAACCTGCAGAAAGAGAGAGAAAGAGTTTGTTCTCTGCCATACCTCAGTTATATGACGCTATACATCTCTGTTTTATTTGAAAGCTGCTGTGCTCTTCCAATCTACTTGGCTACTAATCAGTACCAAGTGCTCTGTACTCAATTTTGTCTCATCATTTAGATTCTTCTAGTTGGCATGTGTTAAACATGCTATTGCTTTGGCAGTTTAATGCTGGCTGTTCCAAGATCTCCCTTATGCACACTCACAGAATAGTTCTAGACAGGCTCAGAAACAAAATTTTACATATTAAAAAAAAATAGTGGAGAAGCTGGAGTTTACTTGGCCATAGGATTCCAAGTTTCCTGTACTTAGACGTGTAAGTACACATGTAATTATGCTTCCATGTAATTTTTCTGCAAGTTGTGAAAGGATTGAGTTTTTGAGATAACTGGAAAAGGTTTTTTCTTCCCTTTCATATTAATATCAGTTTTGTCTTTCCTTGATAAATGAAAAATTGAGATGAAAATGTTCATGCCTGCATTTGGAGCAGGAAGGTCAAAATCACTGATTACTGAAAGTCAGCTTACTTTACACTCTTGCTCAACTATGGTGTTGTTATTTCTGTAGAAATTATTTCAGAAATGATGATTAGATAATTTTGATTCTGTTTGGCTTCAAGTTACATTTCAAATGTTTGAAGTTTACAGTCACTACAAACTGGGTTTAAAAACTTGCAGCAGTTATTATCTGTGTTTTATAACCAACTCTTACCTGAGAAAAATGGCACTGCTCCATGTTCCTCTGTTCCCTGTTTCAGGCCTACTGCTGCCTTTGATATGGGAAAGGAACTGGTGTAAAGGGAGTGTCGAGAAGAGCAGGCAGGAGCTCTCCCTACCTTCCATTTGGCAGATGATGAGTAAGCTGCCAGACCTTTCTTGCCTCACTGAAAAAAGCTGCATGACAGATGGGCATGTCATCATTAATAAAAATAGATTGTTGTAGTTCAAGACAGCTCTGAGCATGATTTCCACATTGCTTTTCCCCAGGCTGCTGCCAAGAAATGCAGAGAGCGCTGTGCATAAAGTCCCTTAGTCTGCATAGGAACTAATGCTGGAAAATTAAAATTCCAATTTAAAAGTTTTAAAATTATAAAACTACATCTGCTTTGCAAACAAATGTTGCTGTTGGTTCCACAGAGAACGCCGTTTGGTTTGGTCAGTCGGGCAATGCAATCTTTGAGGTGTGGCTGCAGCACTGAGCTGTTGGATGTGAGCTGCCAGCACAGCCTCTTTGTACCTCTGTGCCCCCCTCTGATCCTTTTGTCCCCAGCCCAGCTACCCATGAAGTCTTTGGGAGAGAGGCTGCCGTGCTGCCGAGCTGCACTGTGGCAGTGCCTCTTGGCATCACATGTGAGAATCCATCAGAGAGGAGAATGGCAATCTGCATTCCCCTGCTGGAACAAGCAATGAGTACTTCCAGTAGGGACTGTGTACTTCATTAGTTTCCTGCCTGTGGTCACAGATTATCCCAAGAACTCTGGTCTGGTATTTACAAGGAAAAAAACTACTTAAAGGGATCTTAGATTCTATATGCACCTTACCATCGCTGAATTAATTCCTACCTTCCTCTACCTCATTACCTTACAGAACTTAATAGTGACATTTACTAAGTAGATAGTCATCAGTGGAGAAAAGTGTGGTGCTGCTTTACAGCTGTCTAATTCTTTGAAGAGTTCCTGTTCAGATCAATGATTCACTGACTTCCATGTAAGGAAAATCAGACCCTTAATCAGCAAGAAAGTGTAAGTCATTTACAATGTGCAAGGCCCAAACCATCAAAAGCTTGAAAATGATCAAAACCTAGTTTCTATATTTAGCTGCCCCACTTTATAAATAATTAATAACTAGTTGGTGTATGATTTAATCTTAAAATATTTTATTAAGCACTGATAATAATGCAGAAATCCGTGTAATAAAACAACTTTAGAGAAAAAGCTAAGTTAAACTGAGTTGCTATAAATATTGCACTTAGAATTCTTATTTTACGTAAAGAACTCCTTAAAAAAATTGGACAGTTATAAATTAACATCTTCCAAGTAATTGGAATTTGTATGTTTGAGATCAGATGGCTGTGCTGCAAATCTTGGCACATCAGGAGGATCTGTTCTCATGTTGTACAGGTAATGGATTTCACTTTGTGCCAGGTGTGCTTGTGTGGACAGGAGGGAAGGAAGGATCAGCGTGGCCGTACTGTTGGCAGTCAGTTGCATTTCCATGACTTACACTAAGTTAAAAAGATGTTTCAAGATATGATAGAATGCAGTTGCAGAGTTCAATTTTGACATGTTTTGTTTTTCAAGGCATTTAGGATCTTTGAATTCTTAGTCTTAAAACTCATGACAAAGCTGTTGGGAAAGACTTTGCCTCTACCATCTTCTTCTACCTGGCCCATGATGATGTAATTTAAACCTAGAAAGGAGAGAATGAGATTACAAGACAGAAAACTGGGACATCATTTGGTAAGTATAGTTCTTTACCTGTGGTTTCTGTTCATTTCACTGTTTGTTACCAATGCCTTCCAACATTTTTTTCTTCCTACCTACCTGCAGCATTTACTCCCTCACCCATCTTTGCCACGCTTGTTACACTACAAGCTACAGTTACATAAAAATCAAGCAGATGCACAGCAAAATGTCTACTACATAATTAAATATATAGGGGATAGTCTTTAAATATGGACTGTGAAGTGAATCTGAGAGGCACTAGAAGTGCCTATCCACATTGGATAACCTAGCCACTGACACCCAGGGTGGAATATGTCTCCTTACTTTTGAATATTTTCACATTTGATCAGCTTGTAGGTTACTGCCCTTAAGTGATAATGCCCTTAAATCTTTTCATTCCTTTTCCCTCCCCAGAGATGTAAGTATTTTATAGATATATACAGAAGCATTCAGGCAAAGTGGACTTAATGAGTGGTAAGACCTGGCTTTGGACAATTCAATTGGAACTGTGTATTTTATACCTGAGAAGGGTTGGGGATTTGCAAGGTCTTGGGCTGGGAGGAATGGTATCACAGGGATATAAACAGAAAAGTTCAGATATTAAGTAATGGTTCTTAAATAATTCATTGAGATTTAGGATGAGAAACAGAAGTGTGTGGCTTGGAGTCAGAAGTCTGCCTAAAAGGATACAGTTTGTTCCAACAAGGACATTATTATGTCTCCCAATGTGTAGTTTTCAGATAGCTAAAGGCAAAAACTAATTTCTGATCATGATTTTTCACTTTTTTACTGCCCACTTTGAGTTAATATGTTAAGGACTGGTAGTACCTGGAATAATATCAGGGTTTTTTTGATGCTTATTAAATCATTTTGATTGTTTCCTGCTATGGCTGTGTTTATGTTCTCGTGCTCTACCTGTTTACTTATGAGGCAAAGATAAAAACAGTTTTATTTTTCACTTAGTTACTTGAATTAAAAGTACTCTCAATATTTCTTTCAACACCCTTACCACAATTAACTGGAATTTGTGTTGGTTGATCTCTGTATTATGTTATTTAAGGTAGTTTTTAGCAGTACTGGGTGTTTGTACTTATAAAGTGAGCTTAATACTATGAGTATTTCTGTAAAGCTGTAAATACATTCAGGAGATACACAACAGTGGAAGTTGTTGATTTCTGCCATTTCCTGTGAGATACTGCTCTTCTAGGTTTAGCAGGCTGTTGTCTTTCCCTTCTAAACAACTGTGTATAAAAACTAGCTCCAAAATATACACATGTAAACACAAAGTCTATCTTAGCTTCATTTGAGAGACCCAAATCAGATTTTTATCTTGCATCATGTGGCTTTTAGAGAAAAAAGTTTTTCAAACTCCTGTAGTCTACATGAACCTCATTCTCTTCCAGTAAAACAGAAAAACACAATAAACCCCTGGATTACTGGTTATATTAAATTGATTGTAATTCTAACTGCTGATTATAGGAAAAAACATGGCCATTTAATTGATTTTTGTGGCTATATTTCAAATAGTTTTCTAATTGTTATCTTTTATAAACACACAAAGCAGTTATTACTGTGTACTTACCCCTCCTCATGAGAGGACACTGCTTGCACATAACAAGAATCTTGGCACTCATGTTCTTGCCAGCTTGTTGGATTGCTAAATTTCCCTCCTTATATACATTAATGATGGATATTGTTGCATGCAGACTGCCAGCCCGCGTTACTGTTGTGATTACAGTTCCAGTTATTACTAGAAATAAAAAACATTTTATATATTTGGTACATTTTTATTATTTTTAGACATAAATTTTGAGGCATTATAAAAACTTATTAAATACATTAGTCCCTAATAAGGAAACAAACAGTGCTGGGAACACTTACTAAAAATAGGAGTATCACTGCTAATAATTCACTACTGTCAAATTTTGGTGGCACCAAATATGAAATTGTTCTACAATGTGTCAGTCTCATGTAAGCCCAGTTCTCTGATTTCCATTAAACAATACAATTTGATACTACTTTTAATGAGTCATTTTCAAATACTGGAGAAGCTGAACTGACAATCTTCTAGCCAAAATCTGAATTTCCAGCTCTCTGACACTCCCAGGTGAGTAGCAGGAATAGTTAATGCCCTAAGAACTAGATTTTGATCTGTTTGAGGCCTGATACAAACTTACTTATTTCAGCTGAATGTAGTTACAGATTTGACCATAGTATGTCCCAAAGACCTCTCAGTATGAAAATCAAGATACTTTCTTTTCCCTAGGATGACTAAACTGGTAAACCATCTTTATTTATCAAAAGGAAATGGTAATTGGTATTAACAATTAACAATTTCTTCTCAGGTCGTCTTTTTCAATCAGATATTCCTAGGATAAATTCAATCTTCAATTATCAAGTATGTACAGTGAGATTTATTTTACAAAACTGTATCATTTACATTTTGGGATTTTGTAAATTTGTACATTATCTGCCTTTAATGTGGAATTTTTAATTAAATAGAATGTTCCAGTTCAATCAGGAGAGAACTGTGGATGTTAAAAGTGCTCGGTATTGCAGCTATATTTCTAGAAAAAATAAAATTAAATGCGTGATGAAAGAGAAATAGTTGTTATTTCCTAAAATCATAAAGTCTGCAAATAGAATAAATCATATTCTGTGAACAACAGACTTCCTATTCTTTCCTTAGGATATGCTTGCATTCACAGTAGCATATGAAGTATTTTTACTCTCACTCCTGTCACAGAAAAGACTTCAGAAATGTCAAGTATTTGACAGAAGATGGGAGAGAAGAATGTGATTTATTACTGTGATGCTAGAGGGAAAATACAAGCTTTATAGTATCATTTACCATGAGCCACAAGAGCTGAGGTGTGGTCAGTAAGAGGAGACCAATTATGTTGGGTTTTCTCCCTACCTGTTTCTTTTTGCGCTGGACCAGCCTGTAGTGCTGCAGGTGGAAGGAGGCAGGTGGTCAGGGGTGGAGGGGCTGCCCTGAGTGCACCCTGCCTCAGGGTGCAGCCACTACTGCTTGGGCACCTCGGGCAAAGCTGCCCTCCAAGCCCTCACATTTCCTCAAACCTCATGGGATTAGAGTGCAGTAAGAGAGAGTCAGCTTAAAATGAAAAACGGGTGGTGGCAGGGAGTTTTCCCATCAAGTTGCCAGGCATGTTATAGGGGATTAAAAAAATGATTGCACTATTAAAAAGGGAAAATACCCTGACACATAACTGAGTAGATCAGCAGTGACAAGGCCATGCTAATACACAGCAGACACCGTTTATCCTGATTATGTGTGTGTACAGATAACAGTGCTTGGAAGCTTCCATCCCTTCTAATTTCTTTTCAAAGCATTTTGGAAGTCTGTACACTGTATCATGGAACAGTCAGCAGGTGCAGCATAACATAATGTAACAATGGCTGGTTACAGAAAATGGAGGTGACAATACAGTAACTGAATCGATGAATCCTGGGTTTTACATTGTCATTTGCTTCTCAGATTGAGCAGATATGTCTGTCTCAGATATCTGTGCAGTGCCTATGTCAGAGTATCTCCAAGAATGTACTGAGTGAAACACAGATACTAATGTGAGATACATACATAAGGTGGTGTAAAAATATTAGCTTATATATTAATGGTACCTCAGAACTAGATCTGGGAAAATTTCCATGAGGCTAAAAACACAGTAGAGAATAAATAATTTAAAAGAAACTTTGCTTCCTTACCGAAGTTACTTGAACAATAGTTGCTTTCCAGAGTCCCACTCCTTTTACACTTCTGCTGGCACAGGGCAACTGTAGGTTTCACAACTTTTTGAAGAGCAAAAAAGTAAATTTAAATTGAAATTAAGCATTTGATACAAATGAAAAGCACTATGTTAAAAAGAATAAAACCAGAAGAAAGATGAATAATCCTGATGTATGCATGAACTAGACCTGGCATTTCAGCAGATGAACACCACAGTAACAATATTCCTTTTCTCTGCTGTTACCTCCAGTCATCTTCTTTTCAGGTGTCTCAGCTCTGTCTGTTCCAGTGGCCTGAGAGAATGGGATGTTACTCAAAATTTGTGTGGCATCTTACATCTGTCACTGCTGTGGCCCGGTAGAACACCTGAAGTACCACAATATTATATTACAGTTACACTTCTGAGGGAGAGGGTGGCCTTTTATTGGAAATTACTGCACTGTGATGAAGGGGATCAGAGTTCAAATTCCTGACCTCTTTTTCCCAATTTTTTCACATAGCTTCATGTCAGGTAGTGTTGCACAGTTTTTCTTCATGACATTTTGAAACACAATGTTTGAAATATGTCTTAAACATTAGGGATTGACATTTCCTTTCTGAAATTGAATGCTTTGTTTATAAACAGCTGAATACAACTTGAATACATCTTTTTCCTACTTGGGTGGATGTTCATAGTCTCTGTACATAATTCCGTGTAGCATGTTGGGATGCAGTACTTTAAGGTTTTTATGTCCTTTTCAAATTTGTGTGGAATTAGTGACACAGGTATTGGAAACATGGAGGTGACACTGACAGATTAAAAAAAACCCAAAACCACAGATCCCTACATAGCCTTAATTTCCAAGAAAAACTAAATTAGTTATGACAAGTATCTTTGCAGTTTCTTACTTTTGAATGGAACATTTTGCAAAAGTTTTGTTCAGCCTATATTTTTTGAAAAATATCTTCTAACTTTCAATTAGTAATTTGAATAATTTTCCAAGTTTCTAAGAATGAACTAAATTATATTGAAATTACTTTGTCTTTATTGCAATGGGCATGACTGTTAGAAGATCTGCACTGCTCCTTGTTTTGCCTTTCAAATCCAAAGTTTAAAGACTGGGCTTCACAGGTTTTTATTTATTTTGGACTGGTTTGTTCCTTTTTTTAATCCAGTCTTCTTGGTATCTGAGTCTTTAGAAGGTTAAATGCTTCCCACAATGCAAAGTGTTTTAAAGAACAAGTTACTATGTCAATGGTATGGGTCTGGCAAGTGCTTCCTATCTCAATGCTACACACAGCACACCAAAAATTAAGAATTTAATGTTCCTTGAGTCTTTCAAGTTAGTGTTCATAGTAGGAGGTTTGTAAATCCAGCAGGTAGATGAGTCCTAGGTGCATACCAGCATGGTAGCTGCCAAAAATTTATTGAGGTGCTCTGATTTTTTGAAATTTAAAACTGGGATTATGCGTTACAAAATAGTCTTATTTGGTTTTTTTGGTTTTTGTTTTTTTTTTTTTTAGTTTAATGAATTTTGGTTGGTAACCAACTTTGCTATGACTTGTCAGCAGAGGCTGTCTATTGTTTGTAAGGTACTTCAGCAAGAACTGGAGAAGAACTAAAATAAAAGTTTAATTATATATAGCATTTATTTATTTCTTCAAGTACTAATATTCTTATGTTACATAAAGACTGATGTAATTTTTGAAAGGGCCTATAAAATTTAATATTTTATTCATGCCTGGAGTTCTGTGCAAGTTTAAACAGAACTGATTTGCAAGATAATAAGATGAGTCTCTTTGAACTGGACACTTCTGAATGCAAATGATTGCTCAGAAATGTCACTGAACTGTAGAGGTTTGGTTTGCTTTGGTTTGTTTTGAAGATCAGAAATGCCTACACTGTGCAAAACTGATCATTCCTTGAAAAGACTTCTTATTTCTGTCTGCCTGACAAGTCCTTTGGAACACTTTGCCTCTGTTGTTCTTTCTCAGATGAATCTTCATGATCTTCATGTTTTTATTTTCTAACACTGATGCTGTCATGAAAATTGATTTGGAGTTAATTGGTAGAGTTCACCTCTCTTGCCTGTGCAAAACCCTGAACAGGATTATTGACAGCCTGGGTTACTTAAGACCAAATGTTTGAACCAACAACGTTGTTGATGAGTACTTTAGAGTGAAGAAGAGCTGAATTATTTATTGTTAGAGTCACATCAGAATGATTTACAGATCACTATGATTTCATTTTTTTAATGTTTATTTTCATCTATTTTAAATACCTTCATTAGCAGTATTAAAGCACCACAGCTCCTTGGTTTCCTGCAGACAAGCCATTGCTGCCCTGATTTTTCATGTGTTTTAAGTACAAATCAGGTTATGTCTTGCAGAAACATCATAAATAATTTGGTTTCCTGCTATAATTGTATCTGAAATGCCTCACATTCAGGTTATAGAAATTCTAAGAATTTATCCCTTCAATATCTCAGTAATGAGGTATTTTTGGCAACACCTTCAGAGAAATCCAGCTCTGATCTTTCATATATGCTGTCTAGTCTTAAATATAAAAGGAGACTTATTTTTAGTGAGACACATTTCTCTGTAAGTTCCCATCCCTGAATATTTTCAAATAAAAATTATTCTAGAAGAGTGTCATATTGACAGGGTGTTGACAGAGCCTGAAGAGGGCTCAGGTGGCTTCCATATGAATTTTGCTTAATCTTAATAATTATATGAAGAAGAATACAATAAGATCTTTACATATCAACTTTACAGAAGAAAGAGTTCCTTTAACTAAAACTATTTCCCAAAATATTCAGAACTTATTTATTAAAAAAAAACTTCAAAATAATTTAGCTTATCCGTTCTTCTACAGAATGTGCTAGTTAACTGTCCAAAATTGAAAAGAGACAGGGAAGTTCTCTCAGGTGGAGTAAGTTACTTTTACACTGAACTCTTGCCTGGATAGATTTCCTTTAATGATGTTAAATGGATTCTCCCTTGAGTATATTCCAGTACTCCCTGAGTATATTAATTTTAATTAATTCATTCAACATTTAAAATACTAACAAACTGTAAAACTTGTATTTTTAATACAATTTCTATTTCGTATTTCTGTAAATCTCTCCTTGTCCTGGAATAATTCATTTTTATAGGAAATGAAATAAAACCAGTAAGACTTACTTGAGGTAGCAGGGATTGTTGTGGTTGTAGGTGGAGCTGTAGTTGTGGGTAACTTTTTTGGTCTAAATTTATAATGGCCAATAAAACCATCAGCTGTTAAGCTTAAATCAGATAAAAACTGAACGAACAACTCATTTTTCTCAGACAGAATAGGCCTAAAATAGAAAACCAAAACAAAATATTTCCATTCTTTCTCATGTCAAAGCCAAAAAGCATTAATAACATTCTTAAAAAACCCAAAACACTCCACATGAATACTGAAAAATATGTGGTTCTTTGCTGGCATGTCACACACGGGTGTTTTCAGGATGAAACTCTTTTCCATTAATTACCTAAAACTCTGATTCCTGAAGTTTATGTCAATGTGAGTATTGTTAAAATTCTTCTATGTGACTTCACTGCAGACCTCACTTCCATGAAATGGAAGGGGTCAGATTAGGAAAGTGGGAAAATACATTGAAGAAGTCCTCAGTATACAGGGAAGTAAATGGGCTTTTTTAATATTTGGTTTTGTTTAATGAAAAAGATATTGCACACCTGGAAGGGCTATGAAAATTCATGAAGTACTGGACTTTGCAACTCTTCAACGTACCTACCAAAAATAAAATGTTTTGGGTTATTATTTCTGTGGGCTCACTTTTTGTCAATGATTGGATATTGATTACCAAGGACTTCTTTGAAACACTTAATGAGGTCTTTGAAGTAAAAGCTTGTCATTGTTTCCCATTTTTTTGGCAGATTATCAGAAATTAGTTTACTCTGATGGTGGGGTCTGACATAACCAAAAGTCAGGGGCTGGTTAACTGGAATTCTCTGGATTCACAGCTGCCATGGTGGTTGCCCAGATTAGCCTTTCCTTGCTGCAGTATTGACACAGCCTGTGGACGTAGGAGGGCACTGATTATCAGCTGCCAAGAGCTTTGTTCTGCTTCCTGAATACCAGAACTAAAAGCCAAATCTGACCCAATCTGTGTATCCTGTTTTTTTTTAAAAAGGGCCAAGAGGAAAATGAGTCAGATAAAGTGAGGAATGAGCCAAGGGGCTAGAGAGCTCAGCTGGATCCTTGTACTTCAGTATCTATAATCAAAACATACATGTTATGTTAATGTTCAGCCACCATTACTATTGGTGCTACACCAATATCAGTAGCACAGGGATTAGCATGGGTGGTGTTACACAGTGGTCTAATGAGGTTTGTGGGACAGGAGAGAACATGGGCTGGAGCCAGGGTTTGTCATGGAGAGAGAGAAAATAAATTCTCTCTTAAACCTAGAGAGAGACAAGATACTAAGCAATTTCTACAAGTTCGACATGTTAATTGGAGGTAGAAAACACCACGTTTAATTTAAAAATGAAAATCTTTCCAAAGCCTTGGACAGAACTGTTAGCAAAATGACACATAGTGGTAGTGAAGTTCACATTTAAAGGAAGTTACTTACGCTGGGGGACTGTCTCCACAGTACTTCCCAATTCTTTTGGCATCATTGATTTCCCCACCATTAAACACTGCAACGTAGTCATATCTGCAGTAGTTGTCTCTCTCCACATCAAATTTCTCAAACTTTAACTCTATTATCTAAAGGGAAAATGGAAATAACTCTTTAAAGTTTTCACATGCAGAATTTATTAATACTTCTTGTAGTAAATGACATTTTCAGATGTAAGTACTATTAAATTTTTCTTTCGATAAAGGAAAATTCGTTAATCCACTTAATTGTAAAGTATTTTAATCCACATGACATCTCCAACTAATAGTTTAGCATATGACTCTAATATTCTGTAAAATGTTTTTTTCTCAAATGTATGCAAGTAACTCCTGATACAGTTATTTTTATGAGTGAATGTTAGTAGGTGTTAGGTGTTACAATGCTCTTAAAATAACTACAGCAAGTATAAGCAACAGAAAAGGAGCTTTTGATATCAGTGCATCATTCAAGATACACTAAAGAAAAAGCAAAGGCAAAGTTCATACAAGGCCTTTCACTGATTTCATCAACAGCAGGGTCTAAATCACTGTGGTTGCCAATGCTGTGTATACTTGATGCAGAATTTAAAACATTAGAAATTAAAATGTTGATAGAAAGAAAATTAGCAAATAAGATGACTCAAGAGAAAGTAGGTACTTAAAAGAATAGTGTTTCTATGTCAGATTTCCTTAATTGTTGAGGCTTTACACGTCATAAATGTGAACTAGTATCATTCTGGTATTTCCAATACTTATGCTATTATCTGCAACAACTTTTATTTATAGAATTTTCTACTTAAAGAAAAAAAACCAATGTACAAGAAAACAGAAATAGGATCTCCTACTCTGAAATGAAGTCCTGCAGAATGACTCTGTCAGGCATGTGGGACAAGAAGGGGAAACACAACCTAACTGCTGCATGGAAACAGAGATAATATATGCATTTAGGTTGCTTCTTTAGATGAAACACAACGGTATTTAAACCACCTTCCCATAAATAGCACAAATAAGGCTTGAATGACAAGACTCATTTGTGCTGATTGTAGATCAACCTTTATAAAGATCTGACTCAAACAAAGATGGTATTAAATCTTCTAAAACTGCAGAAAGAAAAAGAAATAATTTGCACATGGGATATACTTTATTTGATTACTGACATAGTAAAAGTTATCTTGTTCTACATTCACAGTAATGATAGCCTGTTATCACCTGATGTCTTAGTTTTGCTTGGATATAGTTTTGCACTTATTAAGATGTTTAAGGCATAATTTTGTTTCCCGTGAATTATGAGTAACCTTGGGGGATTTGATTTTAGAGATGACTAACAGACTTGTTTCAAAACCCTCATTATCATGATGAAAAAATGCACTTTAAATGGAATACCCCCATCTGAATAACATGCTTGTGATCAAAAAAGATGGTATAGAAAGAAGTAAGGGAACTGGAAATAGAAATGATAAATTTTTCCATAGCAGGCAAAACAGCAGGCCACAATATCTACTTTACTTTGTTCAGTAAGTGCACTTTGCACTAATGAGCATTTCATGGTAGAATAGAAGCTCTTCATGCCCAGGAGAAGGTCCTTATCTTCTGTAATGAAGAGTGCCTTGTTTTATTGCTCACATGCTTAGGAAAGGGAAATAGAGACAATGACACCTAAAGTCTGGCAAATGGAAGACCAGGGAGCTTTTTCTGGTCACTTGAAGAGAGATGCTTCTTCACTACTTCATGGAAAATGGCTTTTGTCACTGTCAAAATTCTGTCTTTCTGCAACCACTGTTTCAGTACATGAATAATATGTATTTGGAAACAGGTAGATTTATGGAATAGACTCATCAAAAGGCATAGGATATAATGCCCTTATTTTTATGCTGATATAGTATTTCTCAAATCTTCTCTATGAGCTTATGAAAAGTTCTTAGGCTTATCTAGAGACATTTGGAATGAACCAAAGTAATCTGCAGTTTATAGATAAAGGTTTAAAAATCACTGCCTATCTATAGGATGGTTAAATGACCTGTGTCTAGCAAACAAAGAATGTGGATTAAAAAGGACTACAGAAAAGACTACGCTGACATACTGCTTCAGTTCAAGGGAGGAACTGCCTTGGAAAATGGAAAAGTAGGAAAGATCAGAAAAATATATTTATCTGGGGCAGCTTTTTTTATTTCAAGGATTAGTCATGAGTGGAAGATGAAGAGGAAAGTCGTGTTTATATGTAAATGAATTTTAAAAGCTGGATGTGGCAAGAAAAGCAACCTACCAAACATGCTTGTCAACCAAGATATTCAGTCATTGTAGACCTCCTGCTAAGATACAGAGCAGATGGCTCAGCAGCAACCAGAAAATGTGCAGCTAGAACTGAGATTCACTGTATAGTGAAGGGAACACACTTGTGTTTGTCATGTGTGGCACAAGAGCCCTCTCAGTCTGCTGTCACATCTCCTCGGCTCTTAATGAAGCAGTAACATATGCTCTCATGGCATCTGGCTAATTAAACAAGCATGTTATGTGATGGAGCCTTCAAAATATGAAATATAACAAACTGCTTTTATTAAATTCAATCAGCTCTATCTGCTCAATAATTAACTACAGCAACACCAAAAATGGTCAAACATCGTTAGACTTAAATGCAGCATTGGCCTTCATCATGTCTGGTGCTGAGATGATCAACTGCCCTAACTTAATTTGCATGACATCTTTTGAATCAAGAAAATTATTTTTAAACCCTCCCAGGCTTCAAAGCCTCAGCAGTCGTAAATGTGTTAATGGGTTTCATTTTGGGGGAGTGCACCAGTGCATGGCCCTGATGAGGAAGCACAGGAGTCACCGGGGTGATGCAGGCGAGGAAGGGAGATGGTGAGGAAGGGAGATGGCAGGAGCGTGGCTGTGCCCAGCCAGGTGCCACTGCGGTGTCCCGGGGACAATCTGTGCCCAGCCAGGTGCCACTGCGGTGTCCTGGGGACAATCTGTGCCCAGCAGGTGCCACTGCGGTGTCCTGGGGACAATCTGTGCCCAGCCAGGTGCCACTGCGGTGTCCCGGGGACAGCCGGCCACTCGCAGGTGCTGGTCCCTGCAGCCACTGACAGCTGGGCTGTGCCAGCGGGGCGATGGCAGCGCCGTACCTGGTTCTTCGGAGCCACGATGTGCCAGGAGCAGGTGACTCCCGCGGGGTAGTCGCGCTCTGGCCAGTTGGGTGTGTAGAAGGAGCCCGATGGCTTGTCCAGCCGTCCCCCGCAGTACTGGTCCCCTGCAAGGCAGCGCAGAGCGGGGCCCTGAGCACGGCGGGCACTGCCAGCCCCGGGCTGGGCCGCGCTGAGGGGGCTCGGCCTGCTCTGCCGCGGCCCCACACAGCCACGGCCCAGCCTTCCGCCTCCGCTGCGGGCACCTCTGCACAAACACAGTCAATAAACGGCAGCAAAACAAGGAGAGAGAAGCATTCCTGCAGACTCCGGGGCTGGAGGGGGAGGAGAAGCCGCAGGTACTGGAGAAGCCATCCCCGCAGCGCACGGGGCAGCGATGGTGGGGCTGACAGGCACTCCCGAAGGAACTGCAGCCTGTGAAGTACCCTTGATGGAGAGCGGTCTTCTTCTTCAGTATCGCCTGCCCTCAGTTCCAAACGAAAAACTCCATCAGGTATGTAATCCTTATTTACAATATTATTATGAACCTTCTTATTAAATTAACTATAAATTAATAAGAATTCTCAGTTTCTCAGTTGTTTGTCACAGTGTTTCAAAGGTTACAACAAGGTAAGGCCTGATAAATTACTCAGCACCTGCACTCTATCTGTGCAACAACCTGTCTACTCTGGTATCATACCAACAGCAAAAGCCTTGAAAAAGGGCCACTAACTAGGGCATTACCACCTCCCACCATCTCCCTGTGACCTCCCAGCCTCTCACTGGTCATACTCCCAAGCACAAGGCAATACCTTTATGTTCAATAATACCTGATGACTTTTCCTTTGATATGTTTTTGTGTTTTTAAACCAGGGTAGAAACAGACAATTCACAATATCCCCATGCACAATGTTCTACTGCTTCATAGGTCACAGAGAAAAATCACCCTCTCCTCTCCTTTGCAGCCACTTGCACATCTGGTTTTTATATTGAAAAAGATGGACTGGGGTCCCCAGTCACTTTCTCCACACCAGTCATGACTTTAAAGCCCTTTCCTACAGTCCCTTTAACTTAAATCTTTTTCAGCATGAAGAAGTTCATGCTGTGCAGTTGATCTTTGTGTATGTGATGTTCTTCTATCATACTTCTTGTCTCTGATTCCTTCTGATAATTTTATCATATTCAGTTCTGAGATGGGAACATCAGAAAGAGACACTTTATTCAACATGTACGCACATTATAGATTTATAATTGTGTAATTTTTGTTGTTATTGTTTGGTCTTTATTTTCTTTTCTAAAAATTGTTACATTTCTGTTTCTTTTCTGATACCTACTAAGCACTGGATTGATATTCAACTACTGTTTCCACAAATTATCCATTTTAAACCTAACATCTCATTCCAAAACAGTAAGAGTCAATTCAGAACCTGCTGTACTGTACACAAAGTTAGGGTATTTCCCCTTATTTGCAACATTTATTTATATTGAATTTCATCTGCCCTTTTAATGACTAGCTATTACCAGTTTACTACTATGTACAGTTCTTCCACTACTCTAGACTTGTCAGCTTTTCTCTTTACTACTTGATGAACTAAGATGGCTAAACAGTTACACTTTGCTATTTGCTAAGCAAGGTAATTAATAAATATGTTGAATAGCACAATCCCTAATATCTCTGGCACCACATCTTTTTAAGCATTAATGTGGCTCTGGATAAAGCTGAGCTATATTTGTCTTTAGCACATATATAATGGTTAATTACCTCTTTCATGTGGTTCTGCTGCAGAAAACTTTGCAATGAATCCACTTCCAGCAGTATTAGCATCTGAAGTCATCTGCACCAACATTTTATTGCTGCTGGATACAAGGGCACCTGGTTTCACAGTCCCACAGAACCTGCCGATGCGCTGTCCATTGGCATGGCCACTGTATATATCCACAAAATCGTATCGGCACAGATTGTCGCTTTCCAGGTCTAAATACCGAAAAGAAAGAACCACCACTTTTCCCTCTGGGACCTGCAGAGAGAGGAAAGGAGGGAGAGATGCATCTGGAAGTGTGACCACATATCTATCGGATCTCACTGTTTGCCTGACTGTTTTCATACCCTTCACTTCCTGTCAGATGAGCTCTTCTTGTCAACTATTTTCCAGGCAAAGCAGTTTTAAAGTAATTTGGACCAATCCTAAATACAAAGCTCTGGCCATGTCTTGCCATTATCTTATTTCTGATTCAGGGTATCCTCTAGTCAGGCTCATGCAATTAATTATAAACCAGTTCAGCTTGATGTGTTCCTCTTATTTTCTGCTGAAAGTATAGAATCAGCCATGCAGCCCCCTGTCACCAAGTAAGGTGAGGAGGATGAGATTAATATGAAAAAACTCTGGAACAAGCAATTTACCATTTTAAACAAATGAAATGACTTCTCTTTCTGATTTGTGTTACTAAGTTTCATAGTTTGAAGGATTTTTTATTTACTGATGTACATCTTACATTTATAAATAAAATCAGAAACTTTAAGGCTAACACTGTACAACCCTAATATTTAGTTACTGGAGGGGCTGGAGTGAAATAATTATATTGGAAAGACAAAACTATAAATAGAGAATTCAAAAGAACCATTAGTGGATGTCCTCAATATAGAAGAGAGTTTTGTTTTCTGAAATATCTGAGGAAACATAAGACAGGGAAAATCTTGTATGTCTGCATCTGTGGATAGTGCAAAAGAGACAAGAGTACAGAGAAGGATGTCAATTAAGACGATGTAATAGTTTACAAGGAGGAAAACATTTCCTGGGATACAGTTACAAGCTTTTAAGAGAAAAAGCAGCATACTGAAAAGTGAAAACTATTCTAATAAAGCACTTAATGGTGTGTAACAGAAAGAAGAGAAAAAGTATGTTAAAGTATAGAGAGACCCTAGACAGGCAAGTGTAATTATCTGCATTCAAACCATATCATGGTAGAGTGGTAGCTATTAAAATAATTGCAGCTGTTCTGCTTTACTAAGACACTACTATAATTTTCTGCTTTAAACACACGCTTAATATATCTGCATTAAGTTCATATTTAAGCCATGTTATTTAAGAGTTCATGAATTTTTTTCATTCCTTAACAGTGACTCATTTTAAAACACTGGTTTGAAATAAACTAAAACTAAACTGTTCCTATATGAAATTGTCAAACTGTTTAACATTGAGTCTCAACAGTTAAAAATTGCTTGTCAAGTATAGATGGAGATGCTATAAATAGAAGTGACTGATTTAACCCACAGAAGATACTGATAGAGGCAGCAGCTCTAGATGTACTGACAGATGTGCTGTAGGTGTATTCAGGTTACTCGTTCATGCTTTTATGTCCAGTGCTGATACTGATCCTGCAGCAGGAGAGACTTCTGCTTGAGCTGTTCCCAGCTGCCCAGGGTCCATGTGCACACTGCCTGACCAGCTCCACTGCAGTTGCTGCTGCTGGTTTCAGAGAATTTTTCTGTTAAGTTCAAAGTTCTCTCAAAAATGCATTCAGGGCCCCTGTGCTGATACACATCACTGCTACTGCTACAAAACCACAACTCAGCTCATCTTGAATTTATTCCTTAAATCACTGCTCTCATATCTAAATCTCTTATTGTATTCAGTTGTCTTCTGGTCTGAATCACTAATCTGAATCACTAAGGAGCATTAGGGTGTGGTCAATTTTAACAGAAAATGAGCTAAAATGAATGAATTTGGTATTCCTGACAGAAGACCTGAATATTATTTATGGTTATACTACAAACTCTGTGTGACTGGACAAGTCAGTTCAGAAAAGCTGACAGTAAAATTAGTTAGATACATTCAAATTTAGACAGAAGCCTTTTTTCCAAAAGCATGTATGCAAAACAGCACATGCTCTTTTGGGGTAGAACAGTCATTTTCATAAGTTTGTACAACTGGTACGACAGGATGCAAATGGGGTGACCTTTAAAGGGATCATGTTTTAAAATAAACTATCATGCCTACAGTTAAGTTTGTCCAACATTTTCCACAAGAGTGTCTTGCAGCTTTGGCTAAAACTTGCCCATCTTTAAGATATCTCCCCTCATCCTTCCCCTGTTTTTGAAAGCTGAACAGAAGTTGCTCTAGCATATTAGATTAAACAGTTTGGTCAATCTTTATGAAATTTTTCCCCAACTTTCTCAGCCTGAATTACTTCTTTTAATATATCTGCTCTCTCCCAGAGTTTGAAGAAGGAAGTAGAAATATGAGAGGTGGCTGGTTCTGGGGTAAGAAAAGGTCTTTTTGCTGCCCTTGTAGAATTTCATTCAGATATAGCCAAGTGGTTACCCCTCAGCAATGCTGATGGTGCTCATTGACAGCTTTGTTCAAGGAGTGCATTGACCAGCACTGCTCTACCCACATCAGCCCCGAGGCACTCACTCCTACCCCTGGGTATTCCACTCTCTTGTGCCACTCCACGGGGACAGAGGGGACCAGGACATGGGACAGAGCCCTGCTCAGGAGGGAGAGGACGCTGGCATAGCTGCCAAACCCCAAACTGCCAGCCATTCCTTCAAGTCTTAGGTTTTCTGGTTCATAGTATCAGTCATTCTGTGCAGTGTTCTGCTTCCTTCTCCCCTCTCCACCACTGGTTATACTATACGATACTATACTATACTATACTATACTATACTATACTATACTATACTATACTATACTATACGATACGATACGATACAACACAACACTACACTTTCTAATTATATTTCATTGTAGCTTTTAATCTCTGCTTCTGTCAGTCTGTCTATTCTGTCTATTTGAACTTGGTCAAGCCTGTTCCACACAGAGGTACTGACTTCTATTTCATGATAGTCTGTAAAAAAACCTGTAGGAAAAACTCAGCCACATGGTCATGAACATTTAACAAAGAGCCTACTGCAGGTTTTAGTTGTCAGAATAATCCTTGCTCATGTTTATCTGAATTTGGGAGGTAAGTCATTTAGAGAAATGTGGCAGGCCCTTAAATACAGTCACTACTTACTGCTGTTACTTTTATTGTAAAAATATACTTGCTTATTAAAATATTTGTCATTCATAAAAGTAACACATTTGTTCCAGTTAAATCCAGTTAAATCAGTTAAAATTTTGTGGTCTGAGTAGATGACAATCAGAAATGAAGAGGATGCTGGTTCCACATTCTGGCAGCAGCTGTTCCAGTTTGCATCTAGTCCCAGGAAATCTTGTGCCAAATACAGGCATCTTTGCAAAATTGTACTCTTCTTTAATTTCTACCATTTTGCTTCTTTAAATGTTGAGAACTAATGTGCTAAAATCTGCCAGTGATTATCCCAGGACATTTAAAATATTGTTCCATGAGAAACACAGGGGAGCAAGCAAAGGCCAGCATGACTCAGTATTGTTTACTTTGAGCCACATCTGAGCCTGATGCAGTAAGAAGATGGGATACTTCAGAGGAAGAACTGGAAGGAATTCAGCTCTTAAAAGAAAAGAAAAAAAAAAAGAGGGAGGAGTCAAAGGAAGAATGATGTGATGCTTCCTCTTCAGGGTGTGTCTTATTTTTGTTTTATCCATCCAGCTGGTATCTTTCAGCAACAGAGGCACTTCATCCTCTGCCTCTCCTTGTCACAGAGGGGGCAACTGACCCATACTCACTCTCTACTTCCCTTCTTATTTTAACTCTATGAACTTCTTTAGGTTCAAAAATTATGATGCTAAACTTATGCAAAGGATGCCTTACTCCTATGGAAGACTAAAGACATTTTTAGAGAGTTTTTGTAGAGCGTAATGCCCTAAAATCATCGGTGTAGATTACTAACCTCTTCAAAAGGGCATGATTATTCCATATATTCAACACACCTCAAAATAAGGTCCTGAGATTGTTTTTGGTTATCATTGATTGCAGATATTTCATATAATGTTAATCAAAGTTCAGTTGCCTTTAAAGTAGTGAAGCTGTTTTTCTCTTGTTGTTCTGACTGAATACAAACCCCTCTTCATCAAAATTACGTGGTTTAGACCATTTACTTTGAAAATAATCTTTCTGGGGAAGGAAACCCCTTAAATGCCAACTTTCACAAATGTATTTTGCCTGACTTTTAAGCCTGTATTGGATTACATTTGATACTTTGATATATGTTTCACACAAAAATGCTGATTGTATGTTTTTCTATAGCAGTCCCAGGTAGAGTTGAAAAATACATCAGCTATCTGCTGATTATAGTATTATTTCTCTCTACTGAAAATGACTGTGGAAGTTGAGTTAAATCCTGTGAAGAATCATGATTTCTGTCTAGTTGCTTGTTCTATATCTCCACTTTTAAAAATTTGTATTAGCTTGCTCTTCCTGGGCACTAGATTCTGTTCATCTCTTTCATTATCTCTGTTCATTTCTAGCAATACAACCAATGTGTAAAGACCTGTTTCCTACTAGAAGGGCAGTTTTACAATGACATAGGAAAATTAATGCTTAAAACATAGAAAAAAAAAATTAAAATATTCTGCTTCCTCAGGGCAGATTCCCAACTGCCCTGATAAGTAATTTTTTCGAACTTTGCTTATTGTCAGCAAACCTGCTGGAACGCAGCTCCTGAACCTATAAAAGCATAACCTTACGTAACTCTGAAAGTTTTCAGTATTATTGTTGCACATAAAGTTGTTGGAGTTTTATGGGAACTAAGCAGTCTGCCAGAAAAACACAGGATAGCAGTCCAGATTCTCAGACTATGTGACACATTTATGTGAGGTGATGGCCAAGAAGGATTAGAGAGTATTAAAAGTAAGTGTATATGACATATTTTAGATAAAGCTATATACATTACTATAGGGAAGGAAATAGCTCTACAAATGACTTCTTAGCAAAGCCAGTGAAAAGCTTCTGGGTAGTCTGCCAAGGTTGCAATAGAACCACAAGCCATGTGCTGAACACTTCTTAGAGCTCTTAGAATAGAGAAGCTGTTTTCTTTAGCCAGCTGAAAAAGTCCCAGTCTCTTGAAATAACAGAACCATAATTGAGTTAGAGAGACTCTTCCAGCTTTAGCAAACTAGTTGGAAATATTTCAGATGATACCTGAATGCTACATTGCTTTATCTGTGTTACCAGTAATGTCTCCTAAACCTGTTTTCCTCTAAAGAACAAATTAGCTCTAATCCTGTCTTTGCATTTTTTTGTGCAGATGAGATCCAGTAGTTGAGAAAACAACAGTTTCATGCTTCTCGTGACCCAAACACAAAGTGAATCAATGTCTCTTTCAGTCTTGCAGACTTTTCAGATGCTGTATTAGCAGAGTGTTTTCAGAAAGGTGTTCACAGCCCTTGGCTAAAATGGACAGGCAAATGTCTTAGTCACTTTCTAAGACCAGATGCTAAATGAGGAAGACTAACAGTAACTACAGAGTATTTCTTCATGGCAGTGTAACTGGCTTTCTTACTTGGGTGCTATTGCAAGCTATTCTGAGCCTCAGCAGTATCTGGTGAAAGGATTTTGTTGTTTAAATTCAGGCTAACCAGACCCTTGAGTGTACCACTTCGCCGCAGTTTGGTAAACCATGGTCTTTTTAAAGAGAGTACAGGCTTAGTCTTGCAAGTTTATTAGTCCTTGCCTTCCCTACATCCTTCCTGCACACCCAAAAGACACAGAGCATTCTACAGTTGATAGGGAAAAAGAAATCAGCTTGGCTTAGTGAACATTATTTAATAAAACAGGATAAATGGGGTGAGGGCACAAGCAAGCCCGGACTACTCCGGTTGTGCAGCCCTTCTCTGGCTTTGGGCAAACAACAGAGGACAAGTAGGAGGCAGTCAAATGGCAGCACAGCAGAAAACTGGGAGTCTGGGTGATCATGAAATGACAGAAGCCATTGAGTTCCTCCCTTTGTCAAGAAAGCTCAAGTGCAGACACAGCTCTACTACAGCTTTGAAGTAATGCTCCTCACCATGCCCAGGCTCATCTGGATGCTGGCATCTTGTTAGCAACAGATGCACGAAGTGTGCAATGAAACCACTCTGTATGGACATTCTAAGTACAATAATTTGTTCTCTTCTCCCTCTATCCCCCATATATGAAGGGCAGATAAATGGCATGATTCAGTAAATGCTTCTTTAGTGCTGCCTCCATTTGTTATCTAAGTTTTTTAATGGTAAAAACTTCGTGCTGTTATAAGCAAAATTATAATTTCCCTCCACATTGAGTTTTGAACTTTTGAACATCTAATATTGAGTTACACTGTTAAACTAACTTGGTATGTTTTTCCCTTTTATTTAAGGCATGTGTGTATGATTCCAAATGCAATTTGCATCTGCTCTTCAAATTGCAAGATGGGCCATGGTGATTGCTGCTACCTCAGCCCCTCAATAGCAAGAAAGCAAATTTATAGGCATGCACCATGTTTCACATCCTCTTCTGGATGAGATCAGATATGGATCAAAGGTAACCTCTAACTAGGCCCCAATAATAACACAACAGAAAGGTGCAGAAAGCAACTCTGCAGCTTCACTGGGAACTTTCAGATGAAACGATTAAAATCACATCACTCATTTGGTACGAGAGCTGTTTTAAACTGAACATTGTAAACAGATCAATGTCTCCTGCTCTGCGTCAGCATCTCTATAGTAGCAGGAAACAATTATCCTGTGACATCCTATTCTCCTGCCAACACCTAGCCTGTGATGCAGTCTTTCAACTGAATTTGTCTTTAGTGATCTTGTCAACACACAGACTGACTTATTTTTTTTATGCCTTATTTTTTCTGTAGGCCCAAATGTCAGAAGACTTCTTGGTGAGCCATGCCTAAAAAAGAGAGGAAATTTGGTGGGCAGTTTCAAAAGGTTTAATTTGTGTAGATGTGAGGAAAAGTAATCATTCACTCACATCCCTTTCTCTGAGTCTGAGAATAAGGACATCCAGAACAAGATGTCCAGTTGTTTCATGGAATATGTTGTCAATGAAAATGATGTCTCTGCCCTACAGTCTCATTTCAGCATCAAAATATCAATTGTACCACATGGTTCCATTTCACATAGTCATTTATAAATGTAACAACACTTCCCTACTGCTGTCAGCCTGCTGTATGACAGACTCCAGATGTCCTGGCTGGCAGAACACCGCTAGCAGCACACTTCAAGCAAACCTGCCTGAATTTTTTGGGTTTGATTGAAACTTTTTATATGTCTTCTTGCCAAGAAATTTAGCTTTTCATAATCGCCACCTCAAATCTTTTCTTTGATACAACCCACTATTGCGTTCCACAGTGACAGAAGGGGAGATGTTTGCTTGTAAGTGGGTTAAATTAAAACAATTAGATGTGCATCAGGCAAGTCAATGAAAATTTGCTTCTGACATGAGGCAAGGCCAGTTCTGTTTCAGCCACTATTATCATATTACATCAAACCTAAAAAGCTCCAGATAGTTGAGCTACTTTGAGTTACTGAGTTCATTACTGCACATATATCACCCCATGTAAAACACAGTTTAACAACAAATAGCTGTTCACTGTCTTCAGCACTGATTTTGTGGTATTAAAAATTCTTACTGTGATTTTCCAAGTACATTTGCTGTTTGGTGGGTAGACGCCAGGAAATCCTTCACTCCCAATAAACCCTGACTCTCCAGATACAACTCCTCCACATGTAAACGTAGGCCTGAGAAAAATAGAAAAAAGACAAACATATATATTTAATTTGTTCTTTGTATAAGAGGCACAAACTGTCTCAACAGCTTAAATACTTAAAACCATTGCTAACATGAAATATATTTAACTATTTACATAAAATCACTATTGATATAGAATGTGCAATTTAATGTGTGAATTTTGGGTGTAGAAAAAAATTAACTACTTGAGCCTTAATTCTGGGTAGGCACAGACTGTTATTCCCCCCCTCCTTTTTTACTTCCTAAAAGCATGGTGTGCCAGTGTGATACATCATTGCAAATTGCTATTATAATGGAAAAATAATTATTAAAAAGTCATTAGCAACGACTTTTTATAGTGCAGATAATAGCAGTTAAAATAGCACTGATATAAAAACTACTTCTCATTCTTTTCCATGTTTTGAATTTATATGTTTTAATCGAGGAAGTCTCTGGTACTTTTTTGTACCTCAGTAGCACAAGCCAGCCCGTGCTGAGCCCTGCTCCTGGTGCTGAGCCCTGTGGCCCAGCTGTGCTCAGGGCTCAGCTCAGGTGAGCTCAGGTGATGGTGCCGGACACGCGAGGAGCCCTGGAAAACCTGTGTGGAACCACTGCTGAGCACACGAGGATGAGCGAGCGCCCTGCCGAGCTTTAAGACACCGGGATGCCTCACCGTACCGTACCGTTATGTTAGAGAGGTTCCCGATTACTCTCGCAGGGTGCGGGGTTCCGCGGGAAATGCTCCTGCCTTGATGCAGTCACGGGCACTGAAACACCCGCGTATCCCACGGAGACACGGTGGGAACGCGACTGCGGGGGACAAAGGGAGGGGAGGGGACGCGGGACCTGCGCGGGGCCAGAGCAGCGCGGTACCTGTGCGGGGGGGCGGCGGGACGCGCCGCCGCCAGCAGCAGCAGAGGCG